TAGAATTTAAAATTCAAATTTCAAATTCCAATTTGAAACTTAAACTCAAATATAAATTCTATCTTATCCCAGTTCGTAATTCGAAATCCAAATTCAAATTTCAAATTTCAAATTTCAAATTCAAATTCAAATTTGAAATTTGCACAAACCTTATTTTAGTCAAGTCAACTCTTTGACTTACTAGGATTCATGCCCCGAGGCCTCTTTGGCCTACCATCATATTTGGGCCCATTAGTGGAGAAAACTCTTTCACCACTAATGCCCCAAAAGGGCGCATGGATCAAGTGGGCTTGGAGTCCCTACTCCAACCCAACTTGACTCATAGTCTTGACAAAGCCCAATAACTTATTATTGGTCCAAACTTGCTATAACTTGCAATAAGGAATAACCTTTGTGTGTGACCCATTAGGCCCAATTAGTTACTGACATAAATAAACTTGAACCAGTTAAACTCCTTTAAAAAGGCCCAATCCATTTAGTGACTACATGATACACTAGCAATGCTCTGTAGCCCCAGAACTAATTGAGTTGATCAAGTGATCTACCTTTCTGATTTGGATACCGTGCCAGCATTATCCCTCACATCGTTGGTCACATTTAGTCGAGATCAATTTACTAAATATAATATTTCACAGGAACTAGGAATCTTCTTCTATTGACTCTAAGACAGATCATGACTCTTCATGATCTCTTACTATGCATAGATTCCCGAGTCAACTAGAAGTCATCTCAGCCCTACCGGTCTTTGTGAACGACTAATCCCTTATAGAGGATTGTGAGTCCTTTCGGCATGTCCATCTATACTCATGTATTCGGGTTATTCCCAAGAGTACACTGTTCTCCCCATTTTCAGGCGAATAGAGTTGTACAGTCAAAGTAGAACTCTAGGACATTGTATTCGATGATATCCTTAAGTCTAGGACGATCCGCACTACCAAACGTTCAGAGACTTTACAAATCCAATGATACTCACCATAATGAATCCTTGTGGAGTCTCTAGGGGGTCAGTTCAGTGTTATCTGTTCTCCAACAGATCAACCCACGACATCAGCTAAGGCATCACCATGCTTGCATTCTATGAGGTCCCTATCTTGTATCTCCATACAAGTAGATGATGTCGTACTAGTCTTATTGAGATCACCAATACCCTTTCTTGGTGATTCAAGACCAGGAACAGATTTTAGGTAATAGACATTTAGTGACCTTGAGTCCTCATGATCATGATCCCTATCATAGATCCTCGAGTGTACACCTGTTCTATTCTTAGGGTCTTTATCTTTAAACCTATATTTACAATGAAATATTGGCGAGACATAAATATGATAAAGATAAAGTTTGATCAAATTTATTAATCATGAAATACTAAATAGAAAAAGGTGTTCATCTGATAATTGTCTCTAGGATACCTATACTAACACCCCAAACGTGGGGTGAGATCTCTAAACAAAAATCTCAGTAAGACAGGGATCCTCAAGGATTTCTCCACCCCAAGCTCACTTATATGTGCAAATATAAGTTCAAAAACAGTAATATAATATAAGTTCCAAAATCAGTGTAATACAGCAGAATAATCATGTCATGTGTGTCAACTATTCTACTGGCCAGAGAAATGCAGGATTTACATACATCTATTACCTACATTAGTGCAAGACACCACTTGCACCCACCCACAGAATCACCCTATGGCATGTCTACTACATACATAGGCTTACCGTCTAGGTGGAACAACACATGCATATTATAAGGCACTTGCACATAACAGCTCAACAACATTTCAAAATCAATACATGAAAACACATCATGCATATAAACCATCCCCCCATGGGGTATGGTGGTACCAACAATGGCTAAACCGAGGACACGAAAGCTTACCTCTAAGCAATTAATCCAAGCCAAGTCCACACAAGCTCAATGTCACCAAACAGCACAATCACAGTCTATTTATACAATAATTAATCATCAATAATCATTGTCCAAGCTTCCATTAAGTGATTAAGGCTTTCCAACTCATTTTAAGTGATTTAAGACTAAATCTGCAGGAGGTATTCGAATACTTCTCGATGAGTATTCGAATACTCCAAGTCTCCAGAAAGTATCTGAATACTTTCACTAAGGTATTCGAATACCATATGTATCAGAATACTTTTCCAACGATATCTGAATACTACTCAGTATCCGAATACATTTCCCAGTATTCGGATACTTCTTCAAAGGTATTCAAATACTTTTCTTTCCAGAAAAGTATCCCAATACTCCTTCAAGGAGTATTCGACTACCACAGGATAAGTATTTAGATACTACATGAAAAGTATTCGAATACTTATCAGACAGAATGCAGAAATTCGTGCATTCTCTGCATAAGTCTCATTTTAATGATCCAAACTCAATCTGGAGTCCAATAATTCCATCAACAGATGCTCATTTTATGTATTTTAAGCATGGTTCATCAACTTTTAGCTTAAATGATTAAATTTTAACCCTTTTAAGGACACACACAAGCTCAAATCATGAAAATACCAAAGAGGTGATCATGGTTTACCTCCAAGGCTCAAAACTCCAAAAATGTGACAAATTATAAGCCTCCAACACAGCACCAAGACTCTGACTTTACAAAGATGCAAATTTGATGACCAAGCTTGGCCCTTTACACTTAAAGATGGCTCTTTGAAGCCACCAAAGACAAGAAAATGGCTCTCACCAATGAGAACCACTAACTCAGCCCACAAAACCACCACTCACAGCCACAAAACTCATCACACAACAGCCTCCCTCCCACACAAGGATAGTTCACACCTAGTGAAAGTGTTTAGATGAAGAGACAAGGTAGAAAGGTGGTTACTTGAAGGTTTTCCATGGAGGAAGTTCAAGTTTTTGAGAGAAAGAGAGGGTGGCAAGGGCACTCAGAATTCTGAAATGAAAGTCACGTACGAAATCAAATATAGCCTAGGGTTTTGGGCCAAAAGGATATTTATAGCCCACTTAAGTGTAATCGCACAGTATTAGCACTAATAGCTACGCTTAACATTTTAATCCCAAACTTAGGATTCTGAACCTAGCCATTTTTCTAAGATTTGTCATTTTTTTATTTTATTTTTCGCAGTACTTTGCCGGTATGCGCTTTTACGAAGCCAGTATCAGTTCTGACACCAGTTCTCATTATCTTGACTTGAAATTTATTATGCTCATCCTATATATTATTCTGGTGACATATACATAATTTTCTGGGATACTTTATCGATACGCATTTATACCGTGGAGTAGAACCGATATCTACACTTTTCGTCAGAAAAGCGACTTTCCACATTATTAATCACTTACCATAATTGTTTAAGCCTTCTCATAATTATTAGGGTCAATTATGGAATTATTTCCTAAATTCACATTTAATTAGTTAATTTCCTAAATTAACGGTGCAAGTTCTTACAAATAGCACTCTACATAACAGGTTAGACATACCTCCAAATTGTTCTCACTAAGTCATCAACTATATATAATTTACTTACAAAGTATTTGTCTGTGGAGCAGTCAACACTGCAGCCACAACCTTAGGCTAAGGACTTGTATTAGGTGCTCCAGGGTTACCACGCAGGCTTCTTATGATGACCACACATATAAAACAAAGGAATGGGCTGATCAGACCCACACTAAGGAATCACATACGCAGTAATCAATAAGAGTCTACATACAACTATACGGCACTTAACCCAATCATACAATAATCAGAGTTCCCTAAGAAACTGCTCTGATACCATAAAATGTAACAGTCCGTTACGTACCGGTAATGTTACCATTGCATATGGTACTAAGCGCAGTTACAATCACAGTCATTGAATTAATTAAATTATGGGTAAACTTTTTCTTTTTGTTAAATCCTTATAGTTAATATTAACCAATTCCGTAATCAATTAAAAACAACATCGTAATTGTAAATGCAAAACTCGTGGAAGCATAAAACTCATTTATTACAACCCCCAAGTAATACCATTAACTCTAGGTTATATAACACTTATTTTCAAAAATTATACAGTGGTAATCGATTACCCTACCAGAATGAGGAAAAAATTGCTCTTAATGGATTTGAAATTCCCTTTTATATGAGTGAAATATGTGCCCTAAGTGAAAACAATGAGTTTCGCAGATGGGCATTACAACGCTGGTTAAAGCGTTTTAACGCGCTAGCTTACACTTTCTAACTGTAGCAGAGCGTTTTAACGCGCTAGCTTACACTTTCTAACTGTAGCAGAGCATTTTACTGCTCTCTAGCGCGTTGTAGCGTGCTTATCAAAGGGAATTTTCTTTGTTGCAGCGAGTTTTAATGCTCTGGAGCGCGTTAAAATGCGCTCCTCTCGAAGCTTTCATCATGATTTCCATGTGACTTGCGCGTTGTAACACACTCTGTAGCATTTTAACGCGCTCCTTCACTATTTACTTTACTTCTTGGATGCGTTCCCAAGCTTCTCTGATCTTTCATTCCCTACTTCAAGTCCTTTACTTCATCCTTGCATCAATTTAAGTCAATTTTCCTTCAAAGCACACAAGAACAAATTATGTTAGATGACATTCCAACTTTCATGCTTTTTCACTATAAAACCTAGGTATTCATGCCTTTGACTATGTAAATCGTGTAATATTAGTCCTAAAAACATGATAAACTAAAGGTTTATCATATACCTTTCTAGTATAGTATATATAGAATATGTTTTAATCTCATTTTTGGGTTTTCCCCCCCTGAATTGCACTAGGGTTTTGTGCTTGCAAGTCCATTGATTGACGCTTACATGGACTTTAATACAAGAGTTCAATATGCTCACCAACGAACACTTGTATCAAACGAGTTATATGAGGTTATTATTCAACTCATTTTGTAGCAATTTAGTTCATTAAGTGTATTTTGATGTTCTCTCTCAATAATGAACCTATTACGATATTTTGTGAGAAGTTGGCTCAGTATTTGGAGAACATATCTCTATGTAAACTAAGGTGCCATTTCACTTTTACAGTCAATTAAAGCTAGTTGTAATGGAGATTATATGAATCTTAATCCGAACAATACAAATTGCATGTCAGATTATGAAGCCTACTCAGAGGTCAGAAACCATCTTTGGATGTATATATGTTTATATTTCTGACCTTGAATTTGTTCATTTTCTTGGCATCCATTAATTTAATACTTCATTACTTTGCACAGTTAGTTCGTTACATAGACATGTATCAAATTATGAATCCAAGTTGTATCAAAAGGTCTCACAAAAATCAAAGAAGTCTCTTTGAAGACCTCCAAACTATCCACCAATCAACATCTTGGTGTCGGGTAATTAGTAAACCCCTCTCTTTCTATTTTCGAAAAAAATATTTCAATTTTCATGAAACGTATAATTTACAACATTGATTTAGGACGATGAAGATGCTTTTCTCGTAGAATTGTGGGCAAATGATCCAAATGTTCGAAAGCATCTTAATGTTAGAGAGGTAAAAAAACGTTTTCTTTAATGAGATTTTCCACACACAAAAACAAAAACAAAAGGCAAATTAGAAGTTGTATGACTAAGAAAATGTGTGATGTGTAACGTTATAGGGAATGAAAGGGCATTTCAAAAGATGCAAAAATATTAGTGATGCATATACAATGAATGTTCATAGTGTTGTTGAATATCTTCAAAATCTCACAAACACAAACCTTCGATGTCTAATTTATATGTGAGCTTCTCTAACTCTTGTTTGCACTTTGCATAAGCAAAATTCATTTTCCTCATACTTTTCAGGTTAATGCTTAAGCAATATTTATTTTTGGGTTCTTTTGCAGCGGCGATCTTGACATGACGATACCTTATCTTAGTACACATTCTATAATCAAGTCACTTAATTTGAAGTTGAATAGCACTTGGCGTCCTTGGTTCAATGAGGGTGAAGTGGCAGGGTTAGTTAAATGAATAAGTTTACTTAATTTTATGAAATTTATTTTATGATCAATTATCTACCATGAGATGTTTTGAGTTCATAAATTCTAATTAACTTACAATTATCATTATCATGTTTTGTTTTTGTTTTTTTGGATTTTTAACCCGATATATCGGACACTCGACTAATTATGTCATACCCAAGCAAAGTACATTTATCCTAAGAATACTTTCTCCCTACTAATTCAGTTTTTTTTTTCTGCTCACAGGTACACAGAGAGATACAAAAAGAATGAGCATCACCTAACATATGCCACTGTTAAGGCAAGTTACTCATTTAATATTATAAGAACTTATTATTATTATTACTCTAACAACTCTATTACTATTATTGCTATTTTGTTCCGGAGTCACATAAAACCCTGGATGAGGTTTTTTTCCCCCTTTCAAAAACTTTTTTTTAATAAAATAAAATAAAATTTCTTCTCGTTACAAATTAGTGTTAGAATGTCTACTTTAAAAAAAGGAAGTCACAAAAAAGTTAAAAATCTACTTTTTATTAAAGCTAAAATTTCAAGCTTCCAAAAAAAGCTCAAGTTAAGAGTCAATTTTTTTTTTTCAAAATCCAAATTTACTTCAAATCCAACCAATTTCAACTCTCGTTGTCACCACCACGGTAGCCGTTGACACCGTTACTATCACCGCCACCACCACCACCACCATATAACTCCAACCATCACTATCACCACATTGTCATCGCTACCGCCATATCTATCACCATCGCTACCTCTCCGCCACCACCTATACCATACTCCCATCACCGTTCAACCACCAATCGTCGTTTTTACCACTACCTCTACCATTATCACTACCATCTCGCTACTATCTATACTCATCGCCGCTAAAATAATAAACCTTCTTATTATATACTGCCATCACTATCTATACCATTATCATCGCCGCCAACACCACCAAAGCCATCCCTTTTTTTCTCTCTTCCATAGCTCCTTGTTGGCTTCCCCCAAGACCTTGAAGCCAAAATAATAAACTTTTAAATTAATTTTTTGACCTTCTTATTATATTAGTATTTTCTTAATAATTTAGTCAAAAAATGAGAATTATATAACTGTATGAAATAAGTATATCGAAATTACATTATTGTGTGAATAGTTATGCCCCTTTTTTTATTTTCTATTTTATATCTTTTATGGATTTTTATAAATTTTTTTTTTTTTGTTGAAATTTAGAATTAGAAAGATATGAGTACTTAAAAAAAGAAGAGAACTATACATAATTATATACTTACTCTTTTTATTAAATTTGAACAAGTACCTTTACTTTCAGGGAGGGGGCCATGTAGCTCAAGAGTACAAGCCTAAAGAGGTTTATGAGATGATCCAAAAATGGTTCTCATATTATGATATCTAAATTATGCTTTTCACATGTACTGCGGGAGTTATTAGTTTTTATTTTTCTTTCTTTTATGCTACTATGGTAATGTTTCCCGTCAATACTCATTCACCTAATCTTGTTATTTGAAATAAAATGAATGTTTGTATTTAACTGGCACAAAATAGAGATCTCAACTGTAATAAATTTTTATCTTTATTCTTATATCAAAGGAATTTCTGTTTCAGAAAATGTGAAAAAAGATTGGATTAGATGTATTAAAGCAATCAAATTTATTTGAGTTAATACAATGCTAGAATGATTTTTGAAGATCTTTTTCATCAATATTTGAAGTAATTTCTACCAAAAATTAATTTTCGACGGATCAAGTTCACTCCATCTAATTAGTTCCAGTCGTTGGAATTGATTTTTCTACAGACATATTTTTCGGTTTAAATATTTGATAGAATTGTAGGAGCAATTGTATCTGCGGAAGCATATGAGACCATTGTGATTTGGATGAATAGGATCATCATAGTTTTATTATTACTTACCTCTTGTAGTGCAGATTCGAGATGATGCTCCACGAACTAGAGTCCTTTGGTGGTGTTGGCGGCGATGATAATGGTATAGCAAGTGAACACTCGTTCCTTCAAGTCTTGTACACATGGGTGTGGATTCAGATCTGGCAAAGCATGAGACAAGCAACTAGCTAGGCCTTAGGAATCTTAGTTTGAAGCTCCAAGGTGGATTAACCCGAGAAGGAAGTTCCTAGCGCGCTAACACTGATCTGTCCAAAAACTATGAAGCCTTGAGAAGTTGAAGCACAAGGGATAACTTTTAGGCAAGAAAAACCAAGGAGCGAATTGCGGAAGAGAGCTTAGGACTCAGAAATTTGATGGGTTTGAATCTTACCACATGAGACAAATTTGAAAGCTATAAGGATGAAAGAAGCCAAGCGACAAAACACTTGATCCTTCAAGTCTTGTACACATGGGTATGGATTCAGATCTGGCAAAGCATGAGACAAGTAACTAAGCCTTAGGAATCTTAGTTTGAAGCTCCAAGGTGGATTATCCCGAGAAGGAAGTTTCTAGCGCGAAAACACAGATCTGTCTAAAAGTTATCAAGCCTTGAGAAGTTGAAGCACAATGGATCACTTTGAGGCAAGAGAAACCAAGGAGTGAATTGCGGAAGAGGGCTTAGGACTCAGAAATTTGATGGGTTTGAATCTTACCACAAGAGACAAATTTAAAGGCTATAAGAGCGAAAGAAGCCAAGCACCAAAGTGCCAATGCTCAAAGCTAAAAATGAAAGATGCAAGGTGGACACTCGTTCCTTCAAGTCTTGTACACATGGGTGTGGATTCAGATCTGGCAAAGCATGAGACAAGCAACTAGGCCTTAGGAATCTTAGTTTGAAGCTCCAAGGTGGATTAACCCGAGAAGGAAGTTCCTAGCGCGCCCACACTGATCTGTCCAAAAGCGATGAAGCCTTGAGAAGTTGAAGCACAAGGGATCAATTTGAGGCAAGAGAAACCAAGGAGTGAATTGCGAAAGAGGACTTAGGACTCAGAAGTTTGATGGGTTTGAATCTTACCACATGAGACAAATTTGAAGGCTATAAGGGTGAAAGAAGCCAAGCAACAAAGTGGCAATGCTCAAAGCTAAAAATGAAAGATGCAAGGTGGACACTCGTTCCTTCAAGTCTTGTACACATGGGTGTGGATTCAGATCTGGCAAAGCATGAGAAAAGCAACTAGGCCTTAGGAATCTTAGTTTGAAGCTCCAAGGTGGATTAACCCGAGAAGGAAGTTTCTAGCGCGCACAAACTGATCTGTCCAAAAGCGATGAAGCCTTGAGAAGTTGAAACACAAGGGATCACTTTGGAGCTTCTAGGAACTAAGATTTGAATTACAAGGACAGATCAGTGCGGGCGCGCTAAGAACTTCCTTCTCGGGTCAATCCACCTTGGAGCTTCAAACTAAGATTCCTAAGGCCTAGTTGCTTGTCTCACGATTTTCTAGATCTGAATCCACACCCATATCTACAAGACTTGAAGGAAAGAGTGTCCACCTTGCATTTTTCTTTTTTAGCTTTGTGCATTGGCACTTTGTTGCTTGGCTTTTTTCACCCTTATAGCCTTCAAATTTGTCTCATGTGGTCAGATTCAAACCTATCAAATTTCTGAGTCCTAAGCCCTCTTCCGCAATTCACTCCTTGGTTACTCTTGCTTCAAAGTAATCCCTTGTGCTTCAACTTCTAAAGGCTTCATAGCTTTTGGACAGATCAGTGTTTACGCGTTAGGAACTTCCTTTTCGGGTTAATCCACCTTGGAGCTTCAAACTTAGATTTCTAAGGCTTAGTTACTTGTCTCATGCTTTGCCAGATCTGAATCCATACCCATGTGTACAAGACTTGAAGGAATGAGTGTTTTGTTGCTTGTCTTCTTTCATCCTTATAGCCTTCAAATTTGTCTCATGTGGTAAGATTCAAACCCATCAAACTTCTGAGTCCTAAGCCCTCTTCCGCAATTCACTCCTTGGTTTCTTTTGCCTCAAAGTGATCCCTTGTGTTTCAACTTCTCAAGGCTTCATCGCTTTTGGACAAATCAATGTGTGTGCGCTAGAAACTTCCTTCTCGGGTTAATCCACCTTGGAGCTTCAAACTAAGATTTCTAAGGCCTAGTTGCTTGTCTCATGCTTTGCCAGATCTGAATCCACACCCATGTGTACAAGACTTGAAGGAACGAGTGTCCACCTTGCATCTTTCATTTTTAGCTTTGAGCATTGCCACTTTGTTGCTTGGCTTCTTTCACCCTTATAGCCTTCAAATTCGTCTCATGTGGTAAGATTCAAACCCATCAAATTTCTGAGTCCTAAGCCCTCTTCCGCAATTCACTCCTTGGTTTCTCTTGCCTCAAAGTGATCCCTTGTGTTTCAACTTCTTAAGGCTTCATCGCTTTTGGACAGATCAGTGTGCGCGTGTAGGAACTTCCTTCTCGGGTTAATCCACCTTGGAGCTTCAAACTAAGATACCTAAGGCCTAGTTGCTTGTCTCATGCTTTGCCAGATCTGAATCCACACCCATGTGTACAAGACTTGAAGGAATGAGTGTCCACCTTGCATCTTTCATTTTTAGCTTTGTGCATTGGCACTTTGGTGGTTGGCTTCTTTCACCCTTATAGCCTTCAAATTTGTCTCATGTGGTAAGATTCAAACCCATCAAATTTCTGAGTCCTAAGTCCTCTTTCGCAATTCACTCATTGCTTTCTCTTAACTCAAATTGATCCCTTGTGATTCAACTTCTTAAGGCTTCATCGCTTTTGGACAGATCATAGTGGGCGCGCTAGGAACTTCCTTCTCGGGTTAATCCACTTTGGAGCTTCAAACTTAGATTTCTAAGGCTTAGTTACTTGTCTCATGCTTTGCCAGATCTGAATCCATACCCATGTGTACAAGACTTGAAGGAACGAGTGTTTTGTTGCTTGTCCTCTTCCATCCTTATAGCCTTCACATTTGTCTCATGTGGTAAGATTCAAACCCATCAAACTTCTGAGTCCTAAGCCCTCTTCCGCAATTCACTCCTTGGTTTCTTTTGCCTCAAAGTGATCCCTTGTGTTTCAACTTCTCAAGGCTTCATCGCTTTTGGACAGATCAGTGTGTGCGCGCTAGAAACTTCCTTCTCGGGTTAATCCACCTTGGAGCTTCAAACTAAGATTCCTAAGGCCTAGTTGCTAGTCACATGATTTGCCAGATCTGAATCCACACCCATGTGTACAAGACTTGAAGGAACGAGTGTCCACCTTGCATCTTTCATTTTTAGCTTTGAGCATTGCAACTTTGTTGCTTGGCTTCTTTCACCCTTATAGCCTTCAAATCTGTCTCATGTGGTAAGATTCAAACCCATCAAAATTCCGAGTCCTAAGCCCTATTCCACAATTCACTCCTTGGTTTCTCTTGCCTCAAAGTGATCCCTTGTGTTTCAACTTCTCAAGGCTTCATCGCTTTTGGACAGATCAGTGTGCGCGCGCTAGGAACTTCCTTCTCGGGTTAATCCACCTTGGAGCTTCAAACTAAGATTCCTAAGGCCTAGTTGATTGTCTCATGCTTTGCCAGATCTTAATTCACACCCATGTGTACAAGACTTGAAGGAACGAGTGTCCACCTTGCATCTTTCATTTTTAGCTTTGGGCATTGGCATTTTATTTCTTGGCTTCTTTCACCCTTATAGCCTTCAAATTTGTCTCATGTGGTAAGATTCAAACCCATCAAATTTCTGAGTCCTAAGCCCTCTTCCTCAATTCACTCCTTGGTTTCTCTTGCCTCAAAGTGATCCCTTGTGTTTCAACTTCTTAAGGCTTCATCGCTTTTGGACAGATCAGTGTGCGCGCTAGGAACTTCCTTCTCGGGTTAATCCACCTTGGAGCTTCAAACTAAGATACCTAAGGCCTAGTTGCTTGTCTCATGCTTTGCCAGATCTGAATCCACACCCATGTGTACAAGACTTGAAGGAATGAGTGTCCACCTTACATCTTTCATTTTTAGCTTTTTGCATTGGCACTTTGGTGGTTGGCTTCTTTCACCCTTATAGTCTTCAAATTTGTGTCATGTGGTAAGATTCAAACCCATCAAACTTCTGAGTCCTAAGCCCTCTTCTGCAATTCACTCCTTGGTTTCTCTTGCCTCAAAGTGATCCCTTGTGTTTCAACTTCTCAAGGCTTCATCGCTTTTGGACAGATCACTGTGTGCGCGCTAGGATCTTCCTTCTCAGGTTAATCCACCTTGGAGCTTCAAACTAAGATTTCTAAGGCCTAGTTGCTTGTCTCATACTTTTCCAGATCTGAATCCATACCCATGAGTACAAGACTTGAAGGAACGAGTGTCCAACTTGCATCTTTCATTTTTAGCTTTGTGCATTGGCACTTTGTTGCTTGGCTTCTTTCACCCTTATAGCCTTCAAATTTGTCTCATGTGGTAAGATTCAAACCCATCAAACTTCTGAGTCCTAAGCCCTCTTCTGCAATTCACTCCTTGGTTT